ATGAACTTTTGTCCTGCAAATGATCTTTGTTAGATCTAAGTGTTCATAGTGCCCAGACTGCTTTAATACCTTCAGAATTTGTTGCAGTTTTCCCTGCTGCATTTTTTGCTGAATGTTTGTTGCAACTTTGAAGTTCTCATTTCTCAAGGCCATTAGCCCTCTGGTTGCCTTCCTTACCCACCCTTCTTTTCTCACGCAGAAGCTAACATTTTGCAGGTCTTGTAATTGTCAGTAGTTTGCACCTACTAGTCCTATTTTTGTGTTCTTAAATAACTATTAAATTTTAACATAGATGTTGTGTGTCATGTATGGTATTGCTTTTATATTTTACATACCTACATTAGAAAATTTCAGGAGATTCTAACATGGTACCATTATTGCCACTATCTTTCCAGAACCTCATACTATTTCATATTACATTCTTAAGCAAAAATTCTCAAAGCTGGGATATTTTGGCTCATTATCTTATTTTCATTCATGTTCTTCTCCATGAAAATATAAGATGTTGAGTGTGAGATGGTATAATTGGCTTATTCCAGCATACACACAAATACAGCAGCCCTTGAATCAATACCTAGATTCATGTTCTTGCTCTCTCACTTACTAGTATGTGTTGAATTTTGTTCCCTTAAAATTCATATAATGAAGCCCTAACACCTAGTATCTCATAGTATGACTATATTTGGACATAGGGCCTTCAAAGAGGTAATTAAGTAAAAATGAGACCATTATGGTGGATCCTAAGCTAATGTGACTGAAACACAGAAACTTTAGAAATGCATATACAGAGAAGAAAGGCCATGTAACGACACAGCAAGAAGGTGGTCATCTGTAAGCCAAGGAAAGAGAACCCAGAAACAAAATACATCAATACTTCAAGCCTCTAGGACTGTAAGATAGTAAATTTCTATTATTTTACCCACCCAGTCTGTGATATTTTGTCAAGACACCCTAGTGAACTAATATACTATCTTGGAAAATGTGTGAAATCTTTTGGAATTATATGCCCTTTGTTGATGGGGGCTTTTCTAGGTATCAAATGTAATACTGTTGTAAAAAATGTTACTATCAACTGATTTCCATGTAATAATTTAAATGGACATCAAGAAGAAATAGTTGGGTAATAACAAGTATTTTAAGAGGTATGAATATAAACACTCATTTTATGAAGTTACTTATGAAGGTATTTGTAGTCCCATATGATTTTTCACATCTAAAATTAACATTTTGAAAGCATAGTGTTTGTATTCTCAAAGGGTAGTACTGAACTTTTAACAACTCTAACTCAAGAAATGGATTTGTTTTGGTCACTACATAATGAAAAAACTGTTAATAATTTCATTAGGAATTCTTTTACAGTTTTGTGCTACTGAGGCTTAGAATTTAAAATTACAAATGAAATATATTTTACTCCTGACCCTAATTTATATCTAATATATAATTAGGGACATCAGTATGCCTGAAAAATACAACTATATCTCACTTCTTCCTTACTCAGAAGTAGGATGCATTTGACTAAGTGGCCACTTACATTCCGTTTTATGAACTAAATTGAACACAAATTTAAAATTCAAATTAAGAAAGTCAAATGTACTTATGTTGCTTATTCAGTAGCAAAAAATGATAGGATAAATTGCAGTAGTTAAATATAAAGATAGAATTAACCTATAAGAAACAGCCAAACATCAGATCTTAATTGAACAATGTTATAGATGCTGAAGTTTCAAGTGGAAAGACCAGCTGCTGGCTGCAGAGATACTTAGCATTGTAGCATTATCTGGGTCAATTCTTATTAACCCATGGCCTTACATTCAGATTTTAAGACTCAGAAACTCAAATGTTGTCAACATCTCAAAGTTCTTCTTTCTCAGAAGTGTTGACCTGCTTTTATAAAGCTAAAGGGAAACTGATACAAAATCGAGAAATGCCTATTTATAAAAACAAATCATTGTCAAGATAATAGCACTTTCTTTGTCTATGGGCAAGCTCCATGAGGAATCAAATTATATTAATTACATCTATGTCCACTTGCTGATGCAACACACACTCATGTATTTATAAAAATACATATGCATGCTGGGGTTGTGGTTCAGTTGTAGAATGCTGCTTGCCTAGCAGGCATGAGCACTAGGTTCGATCACTAGCACCACATTAAAAAAAACTAAACAAAAATACATGGGCAGCCTGTGTCTTTGGATTATGCCTATATATACTTGGGGTAGAGTTGTACATACTATGAAGACAAAACTATTTCCACAATGTTTAAGCAGGTTTGCTTTTTAATAATTCAAGAAATAGCATTGTATTCAGCTAGAAAGAATCCAGAAGTTAAAAGGAGAAAATAACAGTTCACATCTCACTTAGTTCAGGAAGATATATTGCCAAGCAGAAACTAGATTTTATTTAAGATAACTATTTTGAATATATTTATAGAGCATTTTACACAGCTTTTTCATAAATATGAAAATTCATTTATAGAAAATATATTTGCACCCTAATGTGCTGTCATCCAAAGAGCTTGGTATTAAAATATGCCTTCCAGTTAACAAAGCAACCTGATACTGTTTAGATAGTATATAAATGTATAAATTGAGATTTCTATTAAATCCTTTCAGTATTATAAACATTAATTGATTGTTTTTTATTTGCATTATTTTACATGCAAATTAATATAATGTATATGTGTCTGCATGGGAAACTTCCTCTTCCCGTAAGTTAGATACAGCACAGAGATTTCTTGGCAAATATAATATTCATATAGTGGTAACTCCAACTCATCCATTTTACTCCAACAGTTTAGGAATAAGGCCCAAGTTAAGTTTGTTCTCCTCTTAAACATCCAAACCATAATTAGAAAATGATAATGACACATTTCTAATATGGTATAAATAAAAGGCAAATTCAACCATGCTTTTGTTGGGGGCAAGAATTATCTTATTACAATTCAGTTCCACTGTATAATAAATGTGTACAACATCAGTTTCTTCATGATATATTGGTACTTTCCTTGAGGTGGTTTATCCTGCTAAAATTTATCTTTGCACATGATTAATTGTAACACCTAGCATCTTTTATTTTTTGGAACCAGGGATTGAACCACTGAGCCACATCCCCAACAATTCCCTGTTTCTCCTGCCCTCCCACTTTTTTTTTTTTTTAATCTAGAGACAGGGTCTCACTGGGTTGCTTAGTGCCTCCCTAAGTTGCTGAGGCTGGCTTTGAACTCACTATCCTTCTTCTTCAGCCTACCAAGCTGCTAGGATTACAGGCATGTGCCACCATGCCCAGACAGCCTGCACCCGCCTTTTTAACCATGTTTATGCATTTTATTTTCTATCGCCCATAGATTCTAACATTGAACATATATTTTTCTTGTAATTCTGATACCTTTTCTTTGGGTTGTCTATTCTTACTGTTTCTTTCCACTTTTAAGTCAGTAGAATAATACTTAAGAATTTCTTTTCCGTATGAAAAGAAAAATAGGGAAGTAGAAGTGCACAGTACAATCTTAGAGTTGACAGTGTTTGAATTGAAACTGAGGTCAGTGTGAGGGCAGAAACGGACATCAGCTTTCTTCAATCATAGCAAGTCAGCTGATGGATATAGCAGTAGGGGAGAAGTAATCATGTTTTCTTCATCTCTTCCCTCTGCTTAGCTTTTCCTTTAGTTTGGTACACTCTTTATTAGCTGAGATATACAGACAAGGAGTCAGAAAATTCCTCTCTGTGGCTTGAAGAAATGCTAAAGTGTTCCAGTATTTGGGCACATGACAATAGTTTACATAATTCATATTTAAATCAGCATGTGGTGTTGTCTATAGTTTAATGTGCCTTAATTAATGAATGGAAACTTTTATTAGCATCTAATTCTTTTTAAGAGTTTACTCTTTTATTTATATTTCATAGAGTGATAATTTAAAGTGAATAGTCTTGGGCCCAATCGATACTGGATATATCATAATTTTTATCATCAAAATAGCAACTTGTCTGCAAAATATTGCTCTCTTTTGTGACTTAAGTTTTAGAAATCTTGAGAGGTTTATGCAAAATGGAATAAATACTACCTATAATTTGAAATTACTTGGCAATAATCAATCCTTTTTAAAATTGCTGTGAGGTGTAAAGCTCCAAGTAATAAACATGAACCCCTTAAATTTTACAGAGTTTAAACAGTGAGATGTAACAATTACAGTTTGGTTGCTTTAAAAATAGATGTTAATTGGGTTGAAAGACCTAAGGTTCCTAAACTAGAATAGAAAATGGAAGAATTGAAAGGGACAAAAGTGGAAGAGAATAGCCAGAGATAAACCTGAAACGTATCGAGAAGTTTCTAGAGATTTATGCCATGAAAGAATGTATTTTTTCTACATGTTTATTTTTGATAAGAGTAAATTTTTTTCCAGGACATTCAACAAGGTGGTTTAGCTGCCAACAAAGCAGATAGAGTTAAAAGTGACAGTATAGAACTGTGGTGCTGTCTCTGCTTTTCCCACAGTAGTTTTACTGCATAGTATTGTTACAGCCTGAGCTGATAGTATTTTTTTTGGCAGTCCTTGTTCAGGAAATTGTGTCCCCTTCTGTCAACAGCCATGCCAGGGGATTAATATTTTGGTAATTAACCATTCTGATCTGTTAGAATTAATTCAGTATTGCCATGAATTTGATGAATTTTTTTTCCTATCTTTCCAGTCAGTAGAGCCTAAATGTCACTTATTGACCCTGGAGATCATTCTTTTGTTTTATAATTCTTTCCTTTGATATCTTATCTATATCTTAAATTAGTGACTATTTCAAAGATTTCTGTAGCTACAGAGTAGATACAACTTACTACTTGTCTCAAATGAATACCCTATCTGTAAAAGATGTAAGTAGAAATATATTTGTGTTTTGTTCAAAAGTCATTAAAATTCAAAGGAAGAAGTCTAATAAATGATTTTGAGAGATGTGTTCATGTCTTTTTTTTAAAGCATCAAAATAATTTAAAATATTTTCTTTTGAAAGTTGGCCAGGAATACTTTGCCCTGATCCGTTTAAAGGTAAATATGTGACTTACGACCTGGATGGAAATGTTGAACAATATCATATAGAATTCTTGGGTGATCCACATTCAAGATCATGGATAAATGCAACATTTGTTGGACATTATAGTATCACATTAAAGGTAGGTGCAGTAACATAAAATGAGTATTCTTTTTGCATTTGTTTTCATTTCATATCCTAAAAGATATACAATTACATAGTTATTTATTTATATAAATAATTGTTTATATAAACAAAATAATGTATACTACTTGCTTAAATTCAAACATTTGTATTTTAAAGCTTTTTTCCAAAGAAATTATGGATATAAAATAGCAGTGGAATTCTCAGTTTTATTTTTCCAATGGCAATATAATAAAAATCAACTGAAGACTTTATATAATTGCCTTTTGAAACAGTTTAAGACTGTCATTTGGCAGTTTTAAAATTCTCATGGGAAGACTCAGTTGTAGCCATAGTCACAGGGAAAATTAATTATGGAGTAAAATCAGCTTTTCAAATTTCAAAAAGAATATTTCATCATGCTAACTCCTTTAGCATCCTTTTGACTCTTTTTAAATGTAAAATTCTTTGCTACAATTAATAGATTAGATTCTCAAATTGATGAAAATAGGTGAAATAGATTTATTTCTGAGGATTGTTGTCATATATACATATATAAATTCAATTATCTTCATCTATTTTCTAATATTGAAACTTTCCGTCTGCAAATCATTCTTCATTAAAAATCTGATAAAAGGTAGATGTCATAAATGTGAATACATTTGACTCAATTTGGATAGTGAGAAATATACATATAAGCATGCAGTTTTATCTTCAATAAAATCTGTGAAAATTTGAGATACTGTAAAATGGGACTTACTTTATCTTTTGCATAAATAACACTTTTATATAATTCAGTTTGAAACAACTAGAAAGAAATTAGTTGTGAACCAGTCATCTTAATGTGAAGTCCCTTCTTTGCTCTCATGTTTTGGGTATGTTCTAGACACATTCACTGGCAACCATGGGAGACAGGAAAGAGTATATATTCTGTGCTCTCTCTACCTTTCTAGTGGATGAGAAACCTAGCTGCTCATAAAACTGACTTCAGAATCTTAGATTTGTAATAATGTGGTAAATAAAGAACAGGACATTTCTAAGAAATTATATTTAAATATAAGTATAAAAATCAAAGTGTATTTTTAAATTATCTGAACAAGTATTCTCAGAATTTGGAATTTGTCAGGAGTAATTCACATAGTCTGATTCTAATATGTTGAAGAGATACCTACACACCCAAGTTTATTGCAGCACTCTTAACAAAAGCCAAGGTAAGGTCTCAACCTAATTGCCCATCAACAGACGAATGAAGAAAATGTAGTGTGTGTGTGTGTGTGTGTGTGTGTGTGTGTGTACAATTGAATATTATTCAGGTTTCAAAAAGTGTGAAATCTGTATTTTTCTTGGGGGGTACCCAGGATTGAACTCAGGAGTACTGGACCACTGAGCCACATCCCCAGGCCAATTTTGTATTTTATTTAGGAGACAGAGGCTCACTGAATTGCTTAGTGCCTTTCTTTTGCTGAGGCTGGCTTTGAACTTGCAGTCCACCTACCTCAGCCTCCCAAACTGCTGGGATTACAGGTATATGCTACTATGCCTGGCTAATCCTGTCATTTGCAGCAACATATATTAAGTGAAATAAACCAAACACAGAAAGACAAAGACCATATGTTCTCACTCATATATAGAAGATAAAAAAGTTGATCTCATACATGTAGAACATAGAGAATTGATTCCAAAGGCTTGGAAGAATAAGAAGGGCAGAGAAGACTAGAGAGAGGTTGGTCAACAGGTACAAAATTACAGTTAGGTAGAATTCATCAGCTTTTTTTTTAAAGCTTGTAAGTAATAAACATTTATTTTTCATCATTCTGGAGTCTGGGAATTTCAGTCAAGTCAAGGACAGATTCAGTGTCTGGTGCAGACCTGTTTCCTGGTTCACAGATGGTCTTCTTTCCACTATGTCCCCACATAGCAGAAGAGGAAAAGATAAGAAGAATTCATCAGCATTTTTAAGTTCCACAAGTGACTCCAATGGGTAGTTGAGGAAGAAATACTGATTTAGTTTTTCTCAGCCTTGAGACATCAGTTTTGTTGGTTTTATCCCTACCATTAATATATTAGTCTAGCTTTGGTTATGGCTTACTATTTTCTACTGCCTTTCTTCTGTGTACTAATTTGTTAGTATTGCACTTTCATTTGCCTGGAAATTATGCTTTCATAGGTTAACTGTCTAACTGAATACTAATCACTTTAATTGAACACAGCTTTAGGTTGTTCTTGTCATTCAACATTATGCATAATTTGTATATAGCATTAATAAAATCGATTCAGGATTTGAACTTAATATTTATAACATGTTTAAGTTGATCAGCTATTGTATAAAATCATTATAATTTTCCTTAGGCATAAATAACAATACTACTAGCAGTATACTGCAACGATTGCTTGACTGCTGCCTTTCTAGTTTCATATATTGCCAAGGAAAAGTAGGTGATTTACCCTCTGCTATGGTTTGAATGTGGTTTGCCTCCACCAAAACCCATGTTGAGGTTTAATTCCCTAATGTAATTGTATTGAGGTGGTGGAGACTGTAAGGGAGATAATTAGATCTTAAGGGCACCACCTTTAGAAAACATGACTAGTTCTCAACAGAGCTGAATTACTTCTTGAGGGAGTATATAGTTATAAAAGACTGAGCCTGGCCCCTTATGAACTCAGCCAGTTCTCTTTTCACTTCTCTGTCATTGCTTTGGTATGGATATGGTTTGAATGTCCCCTAAGTATTAATTGTTATTGAAGGCTTGGTATTTAGGGTGGCATTAATGGAAGGTGGTGGAACATTTGGGAGGTAGAACCTTGTGGGGACATCCTTAGGTTATTGAGGGCATGCCCTGCGAGTTGATTGGGGAACACCAGTCTCCATCTGACTTTCTGGCAATGTGAGCTCTTCTACACAGGTGCTTTCATGAGATGCTGCCATCTGCTCTCCTCACCAGAGGTAAAACACCTGGAGCCTCCAGATCTTGTACTATGAACCTCTAAATACTGTAAGCTAGATAATTTTTTCTCTTTACAAAGTTAGCTACAATAATATTTTGTTTACAGTGATGAAAAACTGACTAATACATCATATTGTGGTATAGCAAGGGTACCCTTCTGAGTATGCTGGTTCCATACTTTTTGAATCCTCTAGTCACCAGAAAGAAGCATGAGCCAAAAACAAAAACAAAACAAAACAACAAAAAAACACAACTGTTTTCTTTATAAATTTCACAGTGTCACATATTTTGATATAGCAAACACAAAACAGATTTATTAAGACTCCTGGTAGTAGGATGTACCTATTGTCATATTTAGCTTTTTTTTTCTTTTGTCCATAGTGTTAATAGATGCTTTTGACTTATTTCAGCAGGGTGTTTACCATTGTATGTAGGACATTCCTGTATAGATATGCAGCCATTTATTTGGGTACCAGATGTCATTTGAGTATTTACCCATTATATTAGAGCAACCCCATGAATATAGGTATTATCATTGTTTGACACATGAAAGAAAGTGAGATTCAGACTACACATCTACATGCTGAATCAATTGATAAATAATAAGGCAATGATTAGACTCAAGCTATCTAAATCTCAAGTCAAATGCTTTTTGTACAGTCTGCCAATTTACATATGCATACCAAGTGCTTTAATTTATTGTTGAGTATTTTCTCAATAATGAAAATTTTCATCCTTTAATTCTAATGCACATGTTGAATGATGGCAATCTTTGATAGATGTGCTCTTTACATATTTTTTTTTGTTTTCCCTTTGGGTGGCTAGAAACCACGAAGAACACGCAGAATTCTTGATATTTTGATATTGCATATGCAATAATCATTTGACCAGTGCATCTGGATTAACATATATTTGTGCAAGTGTTTTTTTCGGTGATTTATGAGGATCCAAATTATAAGCATGCAGTCTATGATGAAGATTAGCAAATGATTTTATAACTAGATCATTAGGCAGTGTTGCTCTCAGAGTAATGGAGTGAAACTGGATACATATCTGTTGAGCCAACTGATTGGAAAATATATTTGAAAACAAAAACCAAAAACCAAGAAACTGTTGTATCATTCCTACTAGCAAATAGTCTAACATAGTTGCCAAATTCTCAGTAAAATGTTATCACACTAATTCCATATTTGTATTCAATTTGCCATAATTTTAGAATTATTGTATTACAAATAAAAATTAAGCACAATGATGAAATATTCTCCATCACTGTAAAAAAAAAAAAGAATTATTGGATTACAACTTTTTGTTTGTTTTCTAAGCATTGTTTAGATTTTGGACTGGAAAGTGGTTAATAGAATTAGAACATGTTACTTTAATTGTAACTTATTTGTAAATAATCTGCCAGAAACCCCTGGAAAGGAGTAAAGTTATGAAGTGGTTTAACAAAGTGGCTAAAGAGGCAGACTCTAGAGTCAGGCAAGCTCTTTGAGTTTAAATGCTGGCTCTTTTTGCTTATTAATGAATGACCTCAGATAAGTCACTTAACATTTACAAATCCCAGGTGTTTCAACTATAAAATAGACGCTATGACAGTATCTGCCTCATAAAATTATTGTGAGAGTTAACTGAGATAATACTTGTAAAGCATTTAGTGTAACATTTGGTCCTGTAGTAAACCCCCAATAAATATTAATTATTCATTGAAAGTAAAAGGTTAAATGAAAGGTAAATCATGTATTTTGTTTTTATAGAACCTCTATGTCTATAATATATTTAAAGGGATACCAAGGGCAATCAAGAAGATAATCAGGTGGGGTAGATCCTGTATTAGAAATTGAGGAAACTAGAGTTAGTTGGTCATCTTATTCTTTGATTTTCAGTACATGACTGAAATGAGGCTATTACTACAATGCCTTTCTAGTTTAGTGTAAACAGAAGTGCTAAGAACTATTGAAAATAGGAGATAAATTAGAGTTTTCTTAATCTGATTGCTTTGTGAATGAATAGGCCCCCAGTATCAGCAATGCCTCAAGAGTACTTTGGACTTGTTTGATGGAATTTGGAAGGAGAACAGG